CATCCATCCATCCATCCATCCATCCATCCATCCATCCATCCATCCATCCATCCTTCCATGAGAGCTGCTGGTGCCTATCTCCAGCTGTCTACAGGCGAGAGGTGGGGTACACCCTGGACAGGCTTCCAGTCTATTGCAGGGCAATAATGAGACAAAAAGGACAAACAACCATTCACACACTCACACCTAAGAAGAATTTAGAGAAGCCACTTAACCTAACAGTCATGTTTTTGGACTGTGGGAGCAAGCCATAGTACCTGGAGAGGACCTACAGTACGCATGCTCAGGAAGAACATGAAAACTCCATGCAGAAAGGTAGAGGTTTAAACCTGAAACTCTCTTCCTGAAGGGCAGCAGTGCTACCCACTGCGCCACTGAGCAGCTGTAGATATCCATGTTATTGTGAATTCCTTTAATTCAAGCATTATACCTACATTTCTTTGTAGTATTGTGCTCAGTTACTGCAGTGTGGCTGAAATATTTACTAAATGGAGAAAAAAAAAATGTCTACATAAATTTACTTTAAAAATAAAACAGTTCTTTGAGACTGGATGGAAGATATTCAGGAAACTATTTCAGAATGTACCTTATATTATTGTTTTGTTGGTTAGCTGTAAAATTTTCTAACCTTACACGTTCCCGTTACAGGGCACATGTTCTGCAATAATAAAGTGTGGAAATTTATGAGATTTGGGCATGAACCTAAAAAACTCTCCACCTAAGCTCTTAGAAAGCAGCACCGTTTGTATGTCTAACAAAGTCAACATCACATTTTGTTGAATTTCATTAATTATCTCTAATATCTGATCTTGTACTGTGGCCTTGTTTATGACCAATAGCTGGGCATTACTTTCTCAATTTACTTTCATTTCACTTTTTTTTTGTTAATTTACTGTAAAACACAATATCAAGGTTGCCTTTATGATTATTTGAAGTTAAATCTATCTCTGCGCTTGAAATACCTTATGAATATATTTGAAAGAGAGAAAAATTGTTTATATGAGTCAATTACTTATTTGTTCAATTTGATCTGTTATTGAAAAATGACTAAAAAAGGAACTTGTCCAACCGTGCAAAAAGGGCCAGAATACATATTCTATTGATTCTAAGATGGCCTCAGGGAGCTGTAATTGGTCAAATAAAACATATTTAAAATGTTTTATGAGTTGTTTTTTTTATCATTCTGTTGAATCATTGTTGAAAAGGAATGTCTGACTTTAATTTGCTCATTTCATTGGATTTCTCTATATTTATTTTGTCAGATTCAAGTGACTTCTGTGACCATCGTGGGTTTTTCTTTTATCAAATTTTAAGTACCAGCAACTTGTCCAAGTATGTACATACTAGTACTCCCAAGACACTTAACCATAAGAGGCCTGCTACTCTGTGTACTGTGAATACACAGTTATCTTCATTAAATACTTATTGTATATTCATTAACTTAATATAATTAAAACATTTATTAATTTAAATCTTACTTTTTTAAAGTGAAACAGATGATTATAGATCAAATCCTCAAACTTGTTTTCAGACTTTTATTTTACTTATTTACAATTGTTTTCCTCATAGTGTACATCTAATGATAACACAACATTGGAGGTTAGAATTTTAAATGAGACCATTCAGACAAAACAATATGAATACAGAAATGTGGGCATATTGAAAAGACGTTCATCATCTAGTATTTTAAACTGGAACTTTGAATCTGATTTTAAAAAAACTTAATCGGAACAGATCTTCTAATTGATCTGTTCCGATTATATATGGTATATGGCTCTAAAGTAAAGAACCTAAAACAAAACTGTATACATTTGATTCAGTAGCAACTATAGCAGAAAAAACATCTGAAAACAACCCCAAAATTAAAAAAGCTGTCCCAAGATGTCAGGTTTGATTTCTCAACATATATAGAAACTGAATCCCAGTTGTGTCAGGAAGGACTTTGAGAAGTCTGTGAGCAAGTCATATTTACTCGCAATCGTGATTCCAAAATTAGGGATAATCTAAATTTAAAAGACAAAGAAATATACATATTTACACAAAGATATTTACATACCCTTTAATGATTTATGTGCATTTTGCTAGGACATGATTTAAACAAAACCCCCACAATAGTCACAGAAATTACTTAAATATGTCCAAGGTAATAATAAATAAAAATAATTAAAAAAGAAAAAAAATGAAAGTTAGACATTCATTTTCAACAATGGTTTGACAGAATTATCCCCCCCTCAAAAAAAAAAAGACTGATGAAAATGGCTGAACATGAATGATGATACTCAAAGAGCGACCAACATGTAGTTTGGCAAAAATACCATTCCTACGTTTTTATTATATGTTTTCAACTATAGAGCTCTCTTTGGTCGTTTCCCATTACGACCAAATTGGACCATCCATCTCTTTAAATTGTCTACATTTTTCCTCATGCGGCCATGTCCAAATAGGTTGGGCTACTTAACAAAGGATCTAAAAAATCTGAATATACTGTGCAGCTGCAGTCACAGGAACATCAACCCGCTTGGAGATTGTCTGATAGCCTTTACTTTTATCATGCTTGCCTATACTGTGATTTCCCTTCTATCTCCTGAGGATACTGGTTCCTTTCCTCATTTTGTCCATGTTGAGTGTGGTATACACCATATTCCCAAACAACACAGTGGCTATCTGTAGTCCTATGTATAGGCTCAATCAATGGTTACAAGATTGGAGATACCTGTGATGCTCATTAGTGCACACACTTTGATTTAAGATGGCCCTTTGGTCACATCATTTTCAGTCTTTTCTAGCGGTACGATTATTTTTGCCCAGGTTTGTTTCATTATTTTTAAAGTCATTGTACCGAAGCATGATTAGAGAGCGATGACTGACTTTCAGTTTTTTATTATTACTTCTTTAAGTTCAAGTTATTTCTGTGAGGAAAGAATGTTTGTTTGTCTTCTTAAACAAGGTTAGCCAACAATTATATATTTACATGAAATACAATAACCTCAAAATTCTGGATTTCTGGCAGGATCTGTTAACATGTCATCATTTTCATCCTTTGGTTAAAGCCATAGTATTCTCGGATGCAAAAACAATCCACATTATACAGTGGTATATGTGGGTGCAGCGACCAACTACTGGATAAAGGACAGGATGATGATGTTCTTTTACAGCTGTGTAAAGTGCACTGTGTTTTCTATATGTCTTTAAGATAACTTTATCCATATTATTTTATTCTAATAGTTTATCCTATCCAAGTGTCTAAGTTGCTTTTGTTTATTTGCTGGTTTTCTTGTGAGTACCTTCAACCTTTTCATCCTCTTTATTAGTCTAACTGCATTGTTTTAACCTCCTCTCTAAACTTAACCAATACATGACCCTAATTCATAGTGCTGTTCTTAGGAAAATGAAATATAGCATTGCTTATCTTAAAGAAGACATAGAGCTGTAGTATGGTTGTAGCTGAAGTAAAATTCACATTTTGTTCTTTTTTATACAGATTTGCCAAACTGAATGTGACGTTACAAAATGATCACAAACAATGAATGAAAAATCTGTTCTTTGGATATATACAAACAAGAGTCACAGTGCAATCAAGCCCGCATAATGAAAAATCCCATAACCTGAGAAAAAAAGTGACATGGCATTTCCTGCAGCAGGTTCAGAAGCTGAGCATAAGAAATGAACTCTGCAGTTCTTCTTTAGCTGTCTGACTGCAGAAAGCTGACACAGAAGGAAGGCAGGTTGGAAAAGCAGTCAGTGTTAGCCGTGACTTGAATGTCCTCAAATAAAACTTGGCTTCTGTCAGTGCTTGTGCTGCCCGCTTCCTTTTTAAGCGCAGTGAGTTTCTGGAGGATTAAGTGGTACTCGCGCCCTTTATTAAGGCCCCTGAAGGAAAGAACAGCAACCAGATGTTTCCTGCTGTGGGTAGGGAAACAAAAACATTGACACAAATTAGAATGCATTTAGAGATAAAAAAAAAACAACAACATAACTATCTACATGTTTTCATACATTTAATACATTTGGTCACTTTTCAACTGCATACATTAGTTCATTCTGTTGAAATTTCATAAGCTAGACCAACATAATGTTAAAAGAAAATGCTGCTTTTTTCGAACAAAAAAATTATCATCTATTTAGCCATCACTAATTTAAACACTCCAAAATAAAATACATTATTACCAACTGCTTTAAGAAGTCAATTGTTTAGCAATTTTAACTTGTGTAATCTAGTCTGAGAATAAACCTAGCTGTTCTGCAAAGACCAAACAAGATAATTCAAATCAGATTTAGGTCATAAAACAGTATCCCCAGCGTTGAACAACTTACAGAGAACTGATTTGTCAACTGAAAACAAAGAGACTATAGCACAAAAGCATAATCTATCAAGGAAATCTTATCTTGTACACCTTGAATGCCTTGTAACTGTACTTTTCTACATATATAAACTTCCCTTGCCTTAACTTGACAGAAAAAGCAAAGAATCAATTTATTTAAAGAAAAATTTATGGAAGAGTGGCAAAAAGATAGAAATGTTTGAAAGAAACTCATAGAAAGTTTTCAGTTTGCAAACTTTGCAAAGTTTATGGCCTAAATGACAGACAGTGTGGGTGGAGATTAATATAGGGCAACACAAAGAGATGCATTTGGCCAATAAGGGTGCAGGTTACATAATGTCAAAGAAATAAAAAAAATCTCCTGCTCTGCAATTAATCTCCCTATTTTCAAAACCTTGGAATAAAAAGCAGCTGCACCCAGTTTCCACAGAAATCTTTCATGTAGATACAGGTGGTTTAAAGTAAACAGCTTTTGTCTGCTCCAGTGGTGTGACGGCAGATGGCCATTCACTCCGAGTCTGGTTCTGCTGGAGGTTTCTTTCTGTTAAATAAGAGTTATCATGTAGTGATTGTTGTTCATCTTTGAGTGCTATTATTCATAAAGGGGAACTCCAGGACTTCTGTTTTTCTTCAGCTTTATTTTTTTTTATGTTTTTTTACTTGTTTTGACAACAAAACCACAGATTTTCAACACACATTGTATAATGACGACATAGTCTTTTTGAATATTTCCATTTTCACCGCAGCTCTATTTTCTCAGGTCACTGTCTTCCTATGCCATCGAAACAAATAGTACATACTAAACAATGTGACACTTTTTATGATCATCAAATTCTAAATTTAAGGTGATCAAGAAACAAGTTTATAGACTTAATATTTAGTCTACAAGCTTTCAGTGAACCACAGCAACAAATGAAGTTGTGGCAACATTTTAAATTTATTTACCTCCTTTCCTTCATCGAGCCTATTACTTACTTAAAACTAAATCCACAATACATCTGCAAAGTCATTTAAATCTCTGAACATATTGTCATGTTGTTGCTATTGGTAATATCACGCTGTCATCAAAAGGGACTAATCTATACATACCTGAAATCTGGATAATGTTCTAGCAGGGGCTGCACATTGCTCTTGATGTCTGTTTTGTTTTTTTCTCCAATGATTTTGCTTAGATCATATCCTACTTGGTCCAGCCACTCATGAGTTGATCCCTGCAGAAAAAAATGACACAAATACATTCAATGCTTGGATTGTCACATGAAATGCTTGCCACTATAGACATGTCTAAACGTATTACTGTGCTGTAATGAACAAACTTCTTTAGCAACTTATTATTTTGTTATGGTTTTGTTCAGAGGAGCCAAATATTTAATGTCAGCATTTTACAACTTTAAACTGTTATATGTATAAAAAAATGTGTCGACCACAGAAGACAACCTAAAGCAAATATAACCCTTGGTTAAATACATATATGCTATAACTCTTAGCCCAAGGGAGAGTCCTTCATTTCTGACATTATTCTCCCTTTTCCACCGGCTCCTCTCGTCCCTACTTTATCACATCCCACCAATTTTCAATCGTTTCCATTACTGCTCATTCAGAACCAGCACTGCCTTTTTTTCGGTCCTACTCCTCTCTGATCGGACCAACTCCTGAGTAGGACTTAAAAAAGCCAGTACAGATAATGAAAAAGCAGTAAATGGAAACATCTGAATAGTGGTGGGATAGAGTAGAACCAGATGGAGCTGATGGAAAGGGGCCAGTTTTGTTTTTTATATCAGAGGCTCTTATTTTGAAGTAAGACAGGAAAGGCTTAAGTCTTTTGTGGTTTTTGGTGCAGCTGTTCGACAACTGATGGACAGATCAGTTAGAGATAGTTTAAAACAGTGTGACTTAATCAATAGCTAACAAAGCTATAGTTGGTATCTGCTTGGAGCTTTTATTATTAAGAAATAAAAAATGTATTGGGTAGATGATAAATCTAGATTGAATCATTTTATGTTGCACATGTTCTCTTTGACATTTATAAAATGTTTTTACTTGTATTTATTTGTATTTATATTGGAACAACTTAAAATGATCAAGAGTAGAAGGTGCAATAGTTAAAATGTTTGAAGGTTCTTTATAATACATTTTGAAATCTTTCCTTTATTTTTATCAAATAAAGTAAAACATTATTGGTTCTCATTCTTTATCAAATAATTTGTCATTTCCAAAATATTTTTTCTTTATTCATAGGACTCAACTTAGCAGATGAAAAAAAAAAATCTGTATATAGCAAAGAATGGATTTAGGACAAAAAGTTAAGAAAGATGCTAAAGATAGAGGTATTTTTTAAGAGAATTAGTCAGTTGATCAAGCTATTATAACTTGCCTCAATAAGGAAGGAGGGATTTCTAATTGCCCTGCGATAGATTGGTGACCTGTCCAGGGTGTACCTCGC